ACGGGCTAGGATTTGAAGCCATCTTCTCCTACCTCTCATAAAACAATCCCTTGGCTGAAAATATTTTTCTAAGATTCAGTACCTTCATTCATATAAATTGCTCATATATGTCAGGTACTCAGTGGCTGTTACTTCCCACTTCGACTCTATGAACCCCAGCCCTTCCAGATTTCTCCCTCTCCCTGTGCATGGAAGATGCAGGACTTTTCACATCTGTGGTTCTTAGCAAATCCTGCTGTTCTTATCCAGAATATCCTCCTTCTCCAGCCTGGAGAACTCCAACCTGCCCTCCAAACCTTACCTCAAACACAAGAATCTCTGTACTTCCTTCCAGCTCAAATACTATGCCTACCTCTACCAAGAAGTCTTCCCTTAACTCCTTTCTCTCCCTCTTCACCAATACCTCCTTACACACACACACACACACACACACACACACACACACACACCACTTCTTTGTTTCCCACTGCACTTCCTGATAGGGAGAGCCAGGCAGAGCAAACTAGGGAATGTGCTGGCAGCCTCAGCTGTGCCCCTCCTATGCTAAGGCCCATGCTGGGCACTAGGTATACAATGGTGGAAAATACACATCAATTCAGAGCCTGGAGGTCAAGTTTAATGCTGGGGACTGGAAAGAAAACCTTACGAGGATGACTGAAAAAGGCTGGGGCATGGGAGAGCTGGCATCAAAGGCAGGGGTTTTCTAAAGACACCTGGATATGACATGCTTTAAGAGCAGAGAAGATTCACAATTAGCACAGAAGTTCTCATAAGACCTTATTGCCTGTAGGGCCTCATTTAATTTGGGAATTCTACTTTATGTTAAGATAAGGTTGCCAGATTTAGTTAATAAAAACATGATGCCCAGTTAAATTTGAATTTCAAGTAAGCAGAGTAATTGTCTTATATGTATATTACACTCCATGTAATATCTGGGACGTACATTTGTTTACCGAAATCCAGTTTTTCAACTACTTTTCATGCACCACGAACAATCAGGACTTCCAGGTTACCAGGGGACCTTGCTCACCAGTCTAACCTGCCCTTTCCAAGCCCACATCACACAAGGCCCCTCCCACAGTATTCCAGAGGTCGGGCGGAGGCATTCCTTGGTGCACAAGTCCCATTCCTACGATGCCTATGGCGGCCATTCTGGCTCCCAAGACTTTAGAGGGGCATAAATAAGGCTATCTCCACACCATGCAGAAGAGACCCCACGATCTCCTGAGCCTATTACAATCCACTCCCAAGATACCCTGCGCGAACATAATAGGCAACCCTTCCCACAATGCTGGGGTAAAGCGGGCAGAGCAAAACGTTATACGGAACAATAAGGACCAGTCCCCACAATGCCCTGCACCAACTCTTCCCTCAGGGCTGTAATGCCTCAGGGCTGTAATGACCACCTTCCAAGGTGCTCTGCGTGGAAGCACTACAAGTTTCCAAGGTGCTCAGCGGAGGATGTGTGACAAAAGGGGCCTGTTCCCTGCAAAAAACTAGGATAGTCCTTCCCAGAACGCCCCAGGCCCCTGACGACTAGCGGAGCGACTCCCACACGTTTAGGGCAGGCCGTCCTGTTTTCCCAGGATGCGCGAGAGGGGCACAGAGCCGCGTGGGGTTAGAAGAGAGCCTAGGTCTCGCCCTCAGGCCATCACGGCACAATACCGGGGCCGGCTCCTCAGTGACGGGCGCCGTCACTCCCATCATGCAGCGGTGCCGTAGCGCCCGCTTCCCAGCATGCCCCGCGTACCTTGATCCCGGACACTCACCGGCGAGGGCGGCCCCCGCTCCGGCTCAGCGGCGGCGGCGGCTACACGCCCGGGCTCGGCGCCTGCGCTGCAAGTAGGAGACGAAGCAGCGCGAGGGGCGTGAAGAGCCTAGGGCGCTTGCGCGCCGAGAAGAACCATTCCTGGCGCAGTGTGAAGAGGGGCTATTGACGAGGCCCACGCAGGGGGTTCCGGGCTTTGCCCCTCACCGTCCAGATCTTTGGTACAGTCCGCAACGCGACAGAACCAGAAACTGGAGGGCTCGCGCGTGCGTTCCTTTATAGAAGATGGGATGCGCTGGGGGGTGGGGGACGCCAGCTCAATCCGGATCTTGGACCTGAGGCCTGTTTATTTGCATAATCTTAACAGGGGACTATGGGAGGCCTTGGGCACCGAAAGGGGCTGATTTGCATATTCCTAGGAGAGGCAGTACCCCAGCGTTCAGTGGTTAGCATATCTGCGGCGGGGGCCAGCTCCCGAGCACAGCGCTTGCGCACTGGGACTGCAGACTAGCGTGAAGCAGGTAGCCGGGTTTTCAGTAGGGATCAGTTTGCTTCCCGAGAGCCTGGCCCTTAGCAACCCTCACAGTCGTTACCAACTCTCACAATTCTCCACCCACAACCAGGATATATCTTTACTGCTGTTTTATGTGGCAGGCCCTCTGCTAGCAGGTACTAGGGTTTCCGCAGTAAATATGACATACCTGGCCACCAGCCTCATGGCGCCGCAACCAAAAGAAGTTCACACATAATCAGAACTACAACCCAGAGTGGTCAGACTTGGAATGAGGGGAGCACAGGAAGTTGTCGGGGCCAGAGGAAGTGCCTGCCCTAGCCCGAAAAGGCTTCCAGAAGGTGATGATCTTTAAGCCAAGGATTAATAGAAACCAATTGGAATGCGAGTCGCTTTGGCAGAGGGAACAGCTATAGGCAAAGGCCTAGAAGAAAAAAACGTCGTACGTAATTTGATTGAGCAAGTGAAAGCAGATAGTATGACTAAAACCCAGAATTAGGTAGGGGAAAGGCTCCTGCAGGTGACGTCTGAGTTCAGACTTTACCCTGAGGGTATTACAGGGGGCCCAGATTTCCTGCAATTAACTCACATTCCATCTTAAAACTCTCCAATGGGATCCCATTACGTTTAGAAAAAATCCAAACTATGTGGTCCAGGGGCGGTGCACGAGGCCTGGTCCTATTCATCTCTGATCTCACTCGCCTCTCTCTTTACCCATTCCAGACTAGCTCCACTTCCCATCAAACACTCCAGTCTCTATCGTCCCAGGTTTTTGTCCATAGCTGTTCCCTTTTCCTGAAAAATGCTTTTCCCTCTGATCTTCAAATAGCTGCTCTTGTGCTAACCACATCTTTGCAGATGTCAATCTGAGCTTTCCCTGTTTGTTTTTTGTGTTTTCCCTAAAGTAACACCTCCAGATTTGCTTTAGAGAAGTGAATGGGGTTGTGGATAAAGCAGGATTAGCAGTGAGTTGTTGGTTTCTGGGGCTTGGGTGGAGACTGCATGGAGTTCATTGTCCTGTTCTGCCTACTTCTCTGAAGTTTTCCGTAAGTTAAAATATAACAGTACTCCACACCCCCTTCCTGTGCATTTCTTCTTAATGGCAACCTGAAATTAAGTTCTTTTTTCCTAGTGAAAGGTTCACGAGGGTAAACATGGAGTCATTCTTTCTCACTTTGGGGATTACATTTCAGATAGTGCTAAACTGTCTGGAACACCTAATATTTGTCTGTTTTATTCACTATAGCACCTCCTAGACTTTCGAGCGGCACCTGGCACAAAGGGGGCAATATATTTTTTTAATCTAAAATTAGAATCACTCATTTGAAATTTAAAGAAATGGAATGAGGGGCCTGGAATACCGGGATAAGGAGCTTTGACGTTAGCTAGAGGTGATGGGGAGATAGGATAAGGTTTTGAAAAAGGCAGGAGGAGTGATATGTGACTAATTGAAAACTGCCCTATGCCTGGCTTCTGTGGCTCAGTGGATTGAGCGCCAGCCTGTGAATCACCAGTTTGATTCCCGGCCAGAGCACCTGCCTGGGTTGCCAGGTCCTTGTTTGCATACAAGAGGCAACCGAATGATGTTTCTCTCCCTTTCTGTGTCCTTCCCTTCTCCTCTTTCTAAAAATCTTTTTTTTAAGATTTTTATTTATTTATTAGAAAGAGGAGAAGGGAGGGAGACAGAGGGAGAGAAACACCAGCGTGAGAGATGTTGACCAGTTGCCTCTCCCATGCCCCTAACTGGGGATCTGACCTGAAAGTCAGGCATGTGCCCTGCTGGCACTCAATCCATTGAGCCACACCAGCCTGGGCTAAATAAAATCTTTAAGAAAGAAAGAAAGCTGCCCTGGAGACTGGTGTCTTGGGTGGGGGTAAGCCAGGGGAGGGGTCCAGGCCATGACCTCGGGGATAAGATAGTTCAGGAGCGAACTGAAGAGATAAGACTCTGTGACTGTTTGGCTGAAGGAGTGTCTAGGAAAAAAAAACAAAACCACGTTTCCCTCTCTAGGAGGGTCAAGGTGCCATTGGTCAGGGAAAGACCTTCTTTTGGCCTATTTGGTTCACCAGTGACTCCCCTCCCTTAGCTCAGTTCCCCTCCCAACATGGTGCAGCTCTGGGCAGAGGGACAGACACACAGCCACCCCAAATGTGTTCTCTCCTCAGTTTAATGGTGGTTAGTGGGATCGCCAAACCCCCTCCCCATTCCCCTCCCCACCCCGTACAAAATATTGTGTGTGGGGGTTTTTTTTGAACAAGAAAAAGGGGGCAAAAGCCAGGAATGGGGGAGGGGGCATAATCTGATCTTTTCATACAGATTTTTGATTTTTTTAATATATTATATATAAAACCATAGAGACCAACACATCCCCTTAAACTCCTTTTCCCCTCCCTGGGGGCCTGGAGGAGAGATGGGGAAGGCACCCCCAGGAGTGGGTAGACAGGGAGACAAATATAAGTGGGACAGATTTTGAGGGAGGAGGTGGAAGGAAGGGGACTGGAGAAAAGGGCTGGGGCTGTCTCCCTCACCTCCTCCATCCAAGTTATGACACAAAGACACAGAATCCCTGTTTCCATACCCTCCCCCCCACCCTTACGCCCACCGTGCAAACATGGCTTTGCAAAGAGGTGCCCAGAGCTCTGTGGAACTCCTACAATGGCTGGCATGGGGTCTGGGACCCCCAAAGAAATCTGTGTGTCCCCCTCCCTGCCCACCCCACCCTTCCCAGCATCTGATCCCCTCCCCATAAGACCTGGTTCTGCAGCCTAGGGGCCCTGGCCTTCCCCCTTATCTTCCCCCAACCCAATCCCTACCACCCTCCCTGGACTTGAGGGATCTGGACCTTTGGCCCTCACCCCTGGGGGACCCAGATCTCTGGGGCCTTGCTTGTGGCCTTGGCAGAGACCCAGGCATCTGATACCCCCATCCCTGCCCAAACGTCTGAGGTGTTAGTGGTGGGAAGAGATGCCCACCATCCCAGACTCTGGTAAATGTCTTTGCAGCTGGCAGTGGGGTGAACCCCAGCCCAGGCTCAGGCCTGGGGTAGAGGAGGGGTCAGATGAAGAATTCTTCTTTCCTCTTGTGTCCATCGCTGCCATTGAGGAAGGCTTCTCTTGCTTCTCCCTGCTCATCCAAACCACTGGCCTCATGGGTCAAATAGGAGCCTGAGGGGTGACAGAACCCCGGTCAGAGGAGACAGACGAGAGATATCAGACGAACACGGAATAGCAAAGTGGGCAGAGAAGGAGGTAAAGCAGAATTAGGAAGACGCCAAAAGTTCATGTAAAGATCAACCCTTATCCCCTCCCTTAGCTCAGTTCCTCCCTTATCCGTTCTATTGGTGATAGCCCCTTGCTCTGTTCCCAGAAAATCCGGCAATTAGAAAGATACATCGTTCAGTTGAAACCCACGGCTTCAACGTTTCACTCCTTTAAGTCCTGGGTTTAGTCCTAAAGACTTTTGGAACCTTGGCTTCGGGGTCCCGCAGGGTTTGGAATCCTGGGTGTATAGACCTCTCCAGAATTTAGGCTCTAGGCCCCTCCCCCATTCCAATTCCACAACTAACCACACCCTTCGCTGAATTCAGACCCTGTCCCCACTCACCCTTCTGTCGTACTGAGCACCAGACCATGCCCACCAGCACACATATGATCAAAAACACCAGTAGCGCCAGGATGCCGCCTACAATGGCGTAGGGCACCGACGTCTGAGCCTCTACCACCGCACCGGGGTCTGCCAGAGGAACGGGGCACAGCACCAGTGTCAGGGGACGGTACCAACTCAGCCCGATGGCTGCCAACCTCTTCAATCATTCCGTCCACCACCTCCAACCGCGCCACTTAACGTGCCCCGCCCCTCCAATTACTGCCACCTGGTGGGCTCTTCTCCCCGCTTCCCTCTTTCCTGAAGCTCCCCTTCTCAAGGAATGTGTGTTGATTACTATACTGTCCCACAGGCCCCTGTGTCATTTTGCTAATACCGGCCCTGCCTCCTTTCTTCGCCTCACCCCCAGAGAGCAGAAGCAGCACACCTCTTTTCTTTTGACTCTCTTTTTTTTTCACCTATGGAACCTCAGGTCCAAGTCCCTTACCATGTTGTCTAAAATGCTCCAGGTATTTAAAATGCTAGATAAGGTCCATACACTTCCAAAACTCCTGCGGCACCGTCTGAAGAGCTAAACACATAACACTTATTTTTTGCTAGGGGCCATTCCAACCACTTTATATATTTAGCTCATGTAATCTTCACAAACTCTGAGACAGGAGCTATTATTTATTTCCACTTTAAGGAAAACTAAGACGCAGGCTGTCACCCGCAATAAGATGTTGCAGAGCCAAACCTGAACCCACACGGTCAGTCTGGCACCAGAACTGTATGAACTTTGTGGGCTGTCGACTCCCTGGTATCACTTTGCACAAGCCCCGCTCACCCAGTACAAGGCCGGGACCCGGGAGACCCCGCCCCCAGGCCTGAGGAAGCCTCCACTCACCGTAGACCACGAGCACGTAGAGCGCCCTCGCGTGGCCGTGCTTGTTCGACGCCTCGCAAGTGTAGGTGCCATTATCTGCAGATACCAGGCCAGGCAGCGTAAGCGTCTCCCCGACAGCCTCCGCCCGCTCCGGCAAAGACTCATTCCCGCGGGTCCAGCGGATCTGATTTGGCCTGGAGGGGGGTAAAATACAGTGAGAGTTAGGGACGCAGGTGCCAGCACCCAGTTCAGACTTCTCAGGAATCTAGATATGCAGCATCTCCAAATAAGAGGGTCCCTACTACCCCTTGCCTTTTAGGAGTCTCGGCCCCAGAGCTCACCTGGGGTTCCCCGTTATAGCACACGTCAGCACCAGCGTGTCTCCCTCCCTCACCACTGCTTGGGAGGCATGGATCCGGGCCGTGGGGGAGTCTATGAGTAGAAGTGAGAAGGGAGAGTGATTGTCAGGGTCATCACGAGGGGCTAGAAACCCTTCTGGGGTCGGGCGGCTGGCGTTGGGATCCCCTCACCACCGCCGGGTCCCTGCCTGCCCGGCACTTACACTGCACATCCAGCACGTACTGCGTCTGCTTGCTGTGTCCCGAGGGCAGCGCCTGGTTCTGCGCCTCGCAGATGATGATACCGCCGTCGTCCTTGCGGTCTACACGAAACCTCACTGCGCTCTTCACGCTCCACACCTTGCCATTTTCCTTGCTGCTGCTCACACCTGCCACGTCCGGACCCGACAACTTCAGTCCAGGGTTCCGGCTCCTCCCCCAGCCGATTCCGAAGCAGCCTATTTGCTAAGCTCCGCCCCTGCGCCACAGGCCTCGCCTCTAGTTTCAAAACCACTACCCTTCCCAAACCAACTCCACGATCCCGAGTGCCTCTTCCCAAAGCTCCTCTCTTTCAAGCCCACGCCTTCTCATCTATCAATTTATTCAATAGCTGCATACTGGGTGGATGACATTTCCCAGACCTGTGCGCCCCGCCCACACGTCGGCCTTTCTCATAAGCCCCGCCTTCTGGAAACCCCTCCTCTCAAGTCCGCCCCTCGCTGTCACCTTCCTACTCCTAGTACCCCACTTTGGGTAATACCTTTCAGCTCCTTGCGGTCGCGGTACCAGCGCAGGACCGCGGCCGGCCGAGACCGCGGAACCAGGCAGCTGAGCTCTACCTCGCCGCCCTCCACCGCCTGCTCCCGGACTTCCACCACGGGATTCTCTGGGGCCACTGCCGCAGGAAGAAGGGGAGAAGGGAGGAGGTCAGGGAAAGCATCCAGGTCGGTTCAAAGTGACCAGGCTGCGAGATTCCAGGGATCAAAGGGAACAAGAGTCAAACACTGAGCCCAGAGGTCAGGAAGTCCACCCATATTGCCTGGGCCTCGATGTCCAGGAAGTTAACAACAGCCAGGACCGGTCTCAGCATAAGGGTAAGCAGAGGAGAAAGAAGGAGGGGGTGGGTTAGAGGGGAGGGGGTGGTTACCCAGCACTGTGAGCGTGGCGATCTGGTGGTGGGTGTCCTCCGTGTACAGCTGGCAGAAGTAGCCCCCCTCGTCTTCTAGGCGGGCATCTGAGAGCCGGATCCTCACTCTGCGAGGGGAGAACTCCTCAAGCTGGAAACGCTCATCCTTCAGGGCTAGAGAAGGTGGACCAGAAGTGAGCTTGGGGAATCCTGGCCTCAGGAGTTCCATCCTTCCTCCAGGAGCTTACAGTCCAGCCATACCAATGTGTCTATGGTGCCCACCTAGTTACTCCCTCGGAGACCCAAAATAATTCAGGCCCTCCCACCCATAGGAGTAGGAGTCCAAACCCCCAGCTCCATGCTACATGAGTCCAGGCCCCCAGTCCCTCCCTCCCTCCCTCAGACCAGGGAATCCAGAGTCTCAGCTCTGCCCTCTTTCGGGTCACAGGAATCAGGCCTCGGCCCTCCCTCCTCCTTCGAGACACGGGATTTGGACCCCAGCACTCACCGCGGGTGCCATTGAAGAAGAGGGTCTGCCGGGCTGGGTTCTGAATGACAACTATGGACCCATCATACTGATGCAGACGGCAGGTTATCTCAGCCACCCCACCCTCAGCCACTGTCACATTCTCAGTCTGTACTTCCTGTCCTGCCCCTGGATCAATAGGCAGAGAGACAAAATAGGAGACTAGTTGAGCGCTGCAGTTCGATCTTTTCTCTCTCGTGTTTCTCTCCCATCGAAACCAATCCCTCTCCTTCCCCTCACATTCACTTTATCACACCCAACATTTCCTGCAGGCAGGCGAGAGCCGGGGAGAGGGACTCTACTGGAGGATGCACAGGGCCCACTGGGAGCCCGGAGGAAAGGGAGACCAAGGCTGCCTAGGGACTCCTACTGAAAGTGTCCAGAGGTGACCTCCGAAAATGGTTGACTACTTGCTTGACCCAGAAAACCCATAAATTATGCAAATCAAGAGGTTCACATCTTAGCGTTCACTTTAAGAACACGGGTGAAGCTGCCCAGGCCATTAAGGGTGTGCATATTCAAAAAGCCACCAAGTATCTGAAGGATGTCACTTTACAGAAGCAATGTGTGTGTCATTCCGTCGTTACAATGGTGGATTGGTAGGTGTGTCTAGGCCAAACGGTGGAGCTGGGCACAGGGGTCAGTGGCCCAGAAAGACTGCTGAATTTTTGCTGCTTAAAGATGCAGATAGTAATGCTGAACTTAAGGGTTTAGATGTAGATAGATGCTCTGGTCAGTGAGCACATCCAGCAAACAAAGCTCCCAAGATGTAGCATTGAACTTATAGAGCTCATGGGCATGTTAACCCACTCAGGAGTTCTCCCTGCCACATCGAGATGGTCCCAGCTGAAAAAGCACAGATTGTTCCTAAACCAGAAGAGGAGGTTGCACAGAAGAGAAAGATATTCCAGAAGAAATTGAAGAAACAAAAACTTACGGCCAAGGAGTAAATTTAGCATAAAATAAATACTAATAAAAGTTAAAAAAAAAAAAAAAGACTGCCCAGGGAGATGAATGATTAGAGAAGGTTCTGGAAGAAAGCTCTATTTGATCCGGATCATGAATAAACAGGAGTTTACCAGGCATGGGAAACTACTCTGTGTTCACTGAACCCCATCTTTGGGGGGGGGGAATTTAATTTATTTATTTTTAGAGAGAGGGGAAAGGGGGGAGAAAGAGAGGGAGAGAAATGTCACTGTGTGGTTGCCTCTTGCATGACTCCTACTGGGGACCTGGCCTGCAACCCAGGCATGTGGTCTGACTGGGGATCAAACTGGTTTGCAGGCCAGTGCTCAGTCCACTCAGCCACACCAGCCAGGGCTGGACCCCATCTTTTACACTTGGGCACATGTTGTAGCTTGTCTACAGAGGTGGCCACAATGCTCTTCCCGTCCCTGTATGCGCCCTTTGTGAGGTTACTTTGCTGCTCCACCCATTAAGGAGGCACTCAGACCCTGGGAATCTGTGCAAGTCTTGTGACTTGCTTTTACCAACAGAACTTGTTAGAAGTGATATTATATTGATATGAGTCCTGGGGCCTAGACCTCAAGAGAGACTGTAGCTTCTGCTCATGCCCTCTGGCTGCCCTGAGACTGTCAGATGAAGATGCCCAGACTGGCCTCCCTGAGGATAAGAGGCTGGGTGGGGAGAGAAGCCCAGCCAACAGCCAGCACGAACCCTGGGTCATGTGAGTGAGGCCATCCTGAACCACCCAGCTCCAGTGGCACCACCAGATGACTGTACCACATGAGTGACCCCAGTTGTGGAAAGAATTGCCCAACTGATCCAGTCCAAATTGTTGACCCCAGGGTCGTGAGCAAATAACATGATTGTTTACAGCCACGATGTTTTAGGTGGTCTGTTTCACCCTTAAAGTTAACTGGTAAACACATGATTAGACTACATTTCCCAGGGTTGCTTGTACTTAACCATGTGACTGACTTCAGGCCAAGGAGATGCAGGTGGAATAGAGAAACAACCTCTTCTAGACTGGCTCATCTCACATCCTCCTTCTTTTTTTTTTTCTACTCACATCCTTCTCACTGGCTGAATGGAGAGGACCCCAGGGAGCCCGGAGGAAGATAGGATCACAGGCTGGAAGCCTGGGCCCCTGCCTGGCTGCCCCAGTGACTTGTCTGCATGGAACTGTAACATGAGTGAAAAATACACTTTTTTTTTTTTTGTAAAGCCACTGAGGTTTCAGGGCTGTTTGTTACAGAAGTTAACCAACCTGATTAACCCAGCAGAGGAACAAGGCAGGCAATTAGTAAGGGGGTGTTTCCAGCAGAGGAAACAACCTGGAATGAAGCTCAAAGCTGAGATTAATCAGCAGCAGCAACACCATCATCATGGTGTTACTTTCATCTTGAAAATAACAACCATGACAGCTGTTTATCAGGCACTTGCTGGGCCAGGCTCTGTGCTAAGGGCATCACCTATGTAATTGCCATTTAATCATCACAATATCTGAAGAAGGTAGGCACTATTGTCAATCTTCAGTTTTCTTCCAATTCCCATTTTGTAGATGAGAGAATTGGTCCGGAGAGAGAAAATGACTTGCCCAAGGTCCCATCCCAAGTGTCCAGATCTCTCTGATTCGACAGCCCAGGTCTACATCCACCCAGGCTGTCTGGGTGCCAAGGTCCAGCACAGGTGAGGGTTTGTGGGATGCACCAGTGGAGGGCCACACATGCCAAGCTAGGAGATTAGCTTTCATCCTGAAGTCCAGTGGAGGTCTTTGAAGCATGAAAGAGCCACAATCACGTCTGGTTGTTTACTTTTAAATGTTGGATAACTATTGCTTCATGTTTCTTACAGTCTATCTCATTCATTTACTTGAGTATTTCCCCAGCAGTGGGCAGGTTTTCCAGGGCTGGATGCCCAGAGATGAGTCAGCCGAGGTCCCTGTCCTAGAGGGCCTTTCAAGATTGATGGGGAGGTAGACAAAACTCACTGTAAAATCCCAACAAAAGTGTTCTGTTCCCTGTAAGAAGGATAGGTAACCTCATTCGGGGGCTGAGGGGTGGAAAAGATTCATTCCAGGGGATGAAGGCAGAGAGAGCTAGCTTCCTACCCCAACATCCATGCTTCCCTTTCTCCTTAGCAAAAGAACCCTGGTTGGATTTTATGGTTGCCCTGTGCCTAGAAGAAAGCTATATTTCCCAGACTTTCTTGCAGCTAAGTGAGGCCAAGTGAAAGTTTTGTACAATTGGATGTAAGAAGAAGTGTCATGTGATAATTTGAGGAGCATTTCCTAAAAGGGGGAGACAAGTACCTTGTCCACCAGATCACTTTTGTGCTGTTTGGAACTAGGATGTGATGCCTGGAGTTCTGGCAGCCATAATGGCCCATGAGGACAAGGACGTAGGGATGGTGGAACCAAGAGGTAGAAGATACCTGGGTCTCTGGTGATGAGGTAGAGCTCCCATAAAAGCCCTGGATGCCTACTTCTGGACTTCTCTTATGTTTGAGTATAACTTTTTGTGTTTTCAAGCCTCTATTGGGGTTTATCTAGTACCTCCTGGAATATCAAGTTTAACAAGTCCAATCCAAATGTCTTCCTCTTCATGTTTTCTCAATCTCAGTGAATGTCACAACCATCCACCCAGTTACTTAGGCCAAAAAACAAGAAGTCATACAAGTTCTTACCATTTCCCTCATTCCGAACATCTATTCCATCAGCAAGATCTATCCATTCTACCTCCAAAACATATCCCAAATCTATTCACTGCTGTCTACCTCTTCTAACATGGCCCTAGTCCAACTACACCATCTCTTACTTGGGCCTTTAAGAACTACTCATGGTTCTCTTGCTTTCACGCCTACCTTCTCCCAGGGCATTCTCCACGCAGCAGTTAGATGGATTTTCCAGAAAGATAAATCAGATCAAGTCACCTCTCTGCTTAAAACCCTTCAAGAGCTGCCCATCACACTTAGAATAAAATGTAGGCTCCTTCCCTGAGCCTTCAAGATGCTCTGTGGCTGAGCTTCTCTCTGGCCACAGTTCCAATCACCTTCACTTCGCCCCAGCCTCACTGGCCTTGATGCCCTACACACACACTGAGCTTGTTTCCACCTCAGGGCCTTTGCACTTGCTCTTCCCTTTGCCTGGAATGTTCTTTCCCCTTCACCATTCCAGCACTGTCTGCTGTTCTTATTCAGGTCTCTGCTCCTAGGGACACCTCTTCAGAGGTCCTCTCCCCATTCCTTCACCTCCAGAACACTTTCTATCTCATCACCATTGTTTTATTCTTCTATGGAAATGTCACCAAAACTATTTTATTAATTTGCTCACTTGTTTATTGTCTGTCTCCCACCACTAGAATATATACCGTATGAGGCAGGGATATAGGCCATTGATTGGGTTTACCGCTGTACTCCTGGTGCCTAGAAGTGTGCCTGGCACTTGATACATGACCAGGAGGTTGACAAATGACTGGCATGTGTCAGGCAGGATCTCATTTCAGCCTCAAGACAACCTACGACATCACTATTCTCATCTTACACACCTGGGCTGATCCCAGCTGGACCACTTGCCATCTGTACAATCTTGGGCAAGTGGCTTAACCTTTCTGAGTCTTGGATGCCCTGCCTGTAAAATGGGGATGATGCCAGGGCCAGCCCCATAGGGGTTAGCCCAGAGCCTTGAGCTCAGGGAGCCCTCTCTGCAAAGCTGCTATTATTACAACCTCCAGAAACTTGCCTATGCAGTGAAAACTGGCTTGGCTGCTCAAACTGGTGCTTGAAAAAAAAAAAGACAAAAATCATTTTGAAGGCTGTCCATGGATCCCAGACCTCAGGGTCAACTTAATGCTAGCCCCCCATTTTACAGATGTGGAGAATGAGGCTCAGGGGTCCCAGGCAAGACAGTGGCAGAAACTCAGAATCTCTGGAGAGCCATCAGGATCTCTGGATATGTCCCCCTGCCAAATTTATCCCCTGTTCTCTGCTCGAGGGTGCACATGGGGTGAGGGTGGGGGGCTTTTGTCTTATTCCCTCCCCCTCCTGAAGACTCAGTAACCAACGGTGTCTGTGCCTGGAATATTAATGTCCCAGGAGCTTTTGTTTCGGGGTTGGGGGTGGTGAGGCGGGACTTTCTGGTCAGAGAGGAGTTGAGCTTTTGGGACTAGGGCACTGGCCCTTTAAACTGTGTTGACAGCCTGGAGTCGTCATGGGGATGGTGCCTGGAAAAGGGACGGGAGGGAGTGAGAAAGAGTGGCTGAGCAGGTGACATGTAGAGACCCAGAATCCAGCCCCAACTGCCTCCTCTCCCAGGATCCAGGAGTCACAGGCTCCTAGCGCCCTCTTCCTTCAGGACCCAAAAGTCTGGTTCTCAGCATCTTTCTCCCTCAAATCCAGAAGTCCCCAGGCCCAGCCTCTCCCCCCTCAAACTCAGAAGTCTAAGCCTTCAGCCCCCTCCTCCTTCAGAACCCAGGAGCCAGGGGTCCAGAGTACACAGCTGGCGGATGTTTCCACGGAAACTAAGTGGGGTGGGGGAGCACTTCCTGGGTCCTGAGTCAGCGAATACCCACGGGAGTCTCAAGGTCACGGTTCCAGGAAGGTCACAGCCACCCCCTCCATATCCGCTCCCCAGGAGGCTCTGTGGCATCATGTCTCTATCCCCTGCTTCCTCCCCTAGGGAGGTGGTACATCCCTACGTCCTGACTGAACCCCCCCTCAGCCCCCCATCAATGGCGGAGTCCGAACATCCTTGCACAAAGCATCAATTCTTCCTCAGCTCAGCCTTCTGAAGGCGCCTGTATTCGCAGGACCTAGGCGTCAGGGTCCCACCCCCTCCTCCTCAGAAACCTGGAGTGGGACCCCCAGCCCCTTCCTCTCTCAAGACTCAGGAGTCTAAACCTCCCACCCCTCCCTCCCTCAAGACCTAGGAATATGGAACCCAGGAGTCCAGGCCCACAGGCCCCTCCTTTTTCAGAACCAGAAGTACAAGACCCCAGCCCCTTCTTCCCTCTGACACACATAACCAGGACCCCCAGCCTCTCCTCCCCTTGACACATATGCCCAGGACCCCCAGCCTCTCCTCCCTTGGACACATGTCCAGGACCCCTAGTTTCCTCCTCCCTCAGACCCAGGAGTCTAAGGCCCCAGCCCCTCCTCCCTCAGACCCAGGAGCTCAGGACTCCAGGCCCCTCGTCTCTTGGAAACTTTTGACTCCAGGTGTGCAGTCCTTAACTCCCAGCAGCCCAGCGCTGCCTTCCCCTAGCCCTGTCCCCCTCCTATTGGAGACCAAGCATCAGGTGGAGGCAGAGGGGTGAGTCAGCAGCCACACACACAAAGTGTCCCCTGTGGCCCCCACGTTCCTGGGATATTCAGAACTCCCTGGATTCCGGGCTTTAGGCCCGGGCAGGGGGTGGGAGAGTCCTCTGGAGATTCCCTAGGGGTGGGGGGTCAGGGGAGGAACTCCTGCTCTGGGAAGGGGGCAAGCCTGCACTGAGTGCCCACTGTCCTCCACCCCCAGTGCCCTCTATTCACCCGCTTCCCAGAAGGGCCCGGCTCTGCTGCTGCCCTCTTGCCCTACTGGGTGCCAGTGGAGGAGCCTTGGTGCCTGGTTCTCAGAGGACCTAGCGGCCTGGGGTCTGCAGAGGCAGGAACCAGTGGGTGCTTGGGTCCTGGTGCCACAGGCCAGTGAGCGCTGGCAAGTCTGACTGTCTCCAAGTCCCCCCCGCCCCACCCAGAGAGAGAAAGCTGTCTTTGTGTTCCCCAAGACGGGGACAGGCCAGGCTCGTACGACATTAACCCACCCAGGCCCCAGCCCTGCTACATCTAAGGTCTTGGAATCCATCGCAGAATCTGACCCCAGCTATAGGAACTCAGACAAACTGGCTCATGGGTGGGTGGGGGTCAGTGACAGAAACCTCTCAAGACTTGTACTCGGGGCTGACTCGCATTGGAAGGGAGGCCCCTCTGTTCTCAGAGTGGCTGGGCAGAAGAACTTCAGCAGGGAAAAGTGAGTCACTTGAGAGGAAAACATTATTTGGGATCAACAAGCTCCCCCTTCACAAAGCCCCTCAACTCGAACCGCCTCTCTCTCTCTCCTTTGTGTTTGGATATGTTTCCTCAGCGCCTTTCTGGTCCAGGCTCTGGCCTGTGCCTGTCTGTCTGCCCGTGTGCATCTCTGGGCAAGCAACCCATCTCTCTCTCACTTCCTCTCGCCTGCCCACCTGGACCCTTCTTTCTTTTGGCATAAGTCTCATCATCTTCTGCTATTCGTGGCAGCTGAGTGAGCCAAGAAAGAGAGAACACATTTTTGAAAGGACACAAATGGACGCCATCTCCCGTCCCTGCTCTTGCTGGCTGGGCAAGGTGAGGGAGGTAGGAGGGTAGCTGAGAGGGAAACACGGGGACCATGCACACTCCTTGAAATCCAGTGGCCAAGGCCATTCCGAAACAGCCAATGAAAAGGAGAGCAGACAGGGCCCTCTGAGATCATGCACGCCAGCTCCCTGACCTCATGCTTTGCAGAAGGGGAAAGCGAGGCTCAGAGAGTGATGGGGGCTGATACAAAATTACACCTGAGAGGCCTGGTTCCCTGGCTCCTAGCCCAGAGTGCTTCCCTTGACTCCAGCTGTCCCCCAACTTTAAAGCCCCACGATTTAGAGAAAGTTACAGACGGGATTAGAGTACCAGGAGGGGGACAAACCGGTAAAGCTACCTCCCAGAAGTGCTGGATAAAAGATTCTGGAACTGAGTAGGTGGTCATCTTAGCCTATCCTCTCATTCTGAGACTCCAAAATCCCACCATTCTAAGCTGTCAAGATTCTAGATGTCAAAGATGTCAAAATTCAGGATCTCCCAGAGGCCAAGGTTTCAGAATTTGAAAGCTGTCAAGAGGCTAAAATGCTAATGCTATCAAGGCTCTGGAATTTTAAAGGCAGCAAGATTCTCAAGATTCTAGGATTCTAGAGTCCTAAAGATATCAACGTTCAGAAATACCCTCAGGTTCTTTGTTTACTGGATTCGCTGGAGCTAGGATTCTGAGGCTGGATTTTAGGGTCTAAAAAACGAAGAAAGGAAAATAAAATTCAATGGAAATGTAGCTAAGGTACCAAAGCGCTCGTCTGGGAAATTGTGGTTTGTCTGTCGCAAAGAAAGGAGGTAATGATGCAGATTCTGAAGCAGTGGCAGAGGAATACGGAAGAAAGCAAGGCAGAGAGGGTGAAAGGTCAGCTTTGCCCCTCACCTTGTCAGGGGTTCAAGCTGGAGTTCCTTCCCTTTCAGATCACTGAGTTCAACATCCATACTTTATAGAGAATGAAACTGAGCCCTGGAGAGAGGAGGGTGTTTGCCATCAGTTGCTGTGGCAAATGGCAAAGAGTCAGGATTTACACCCAGGCCCCCAGCCCTGTGCCCTCTGGTTACACTCCTCTCCCAAAGCTCCACAGAACCTCCAGGCCTCCCCACTCCTGCCCAGCCACCTCCCAATCCTCTGTTCCTCCCAAGAGTGGCTTTCCCCACCAGGGAGGAGGTGGCCTGTGGCAGGTTGGAGGCACACAGTGTGAAAGTGTGAGTGACATTTCCTGACCTTGTCCCAGTCTCAGGTTCACCCTGTCTTGGAAGTCTCCAGCTTTTCTCAGAGTGTGTTAAAGGTATGTGGATGGCGCCCTGGCATCCTGGAGGGGGGCTTCTCTGTAAGTCATGGCCTGGGTGTGTGAATGGGTGGGGATGGGCGGCACAGGGGAGGCATCTGCTGAATCCACGTGTGTGCCCACATGCCAAGGTTCACCACACAGTTCTAATCCCCCTGCCCCCCAACACACATTTCTCCAAGGCCCTTTAGGATGCCTGCCTGACTCAATTCCTCTCTGGGGACACATAGTGATAGAGAGATGGAGGGGTGTAGGATGGAGATGGGGATCCCAGGATGGAGGTTGTAAGGGTAGAGAGGGGAGGCTCAGAGACAGGGGACAGGGAGACAGTGGGACAGATAGAAGGGGGTTGGGGGGAATGGGAGAGATAGATGACAGAAGGAGCTGGAGAAAGAGAAATGACAGAAAGATAGGGGCAGAGCAATAAGGGGATGGGACAGAGGAGGGACAGAGAAGAAGGAACCGAAAAACAAGGGTGACAACGAGACAGGGGCAGAGAGGGAGAGCAGAAATGCAGAGGGATAGAGAAGAGGGAATAAAGAGGATGATGGGGGACAGAGTGACCCATTAGGAAGGAACAGACACTGAGGGACAGAGGTGGGGGACAAAGACAGGATAGAGAGGTGGGGGAGAGGGACAGACAGAGGGAGGGTCAGGACTTCGAGACTGAGGGACAGAGGACAAGGGTAGGGGGACAAGGAGAGAGACGGAGGGACTCAGAGACAGGCGGACAGGGGGACGCAGAGAGCGGACAGAAGGACAGCGGGACCGGCCCGGAGAAGGCGGGCTGGGAGGAGAAGGGGGGGTCTCCGGCCCTTTGTCCCCGCTGGGATCGGGGCCTGTACGGGGTGGGGGAGCTGCGGCACCGCGGCCGGGGCGCGCGCCCCCTCCCCCGCTCGCGGCTCCCGGCCCGCGCTGCGCTTTGTCCCGGGGAGGGGGCCCGGCCCGGCCCCGCGCGCATTGTTCGGCCTCTGCGGCCCCGCCGCGGCCGGGCTGTCACCGCGGCGCGCCCCCCGCCCCGGCCCGGTCCCCGACCCTACCTGGCCCTGCCGCGGCCGCCCACAGCAGCAGCAGCGGCCACTGGAAGCGCCGGGCCCGGCCCATGGTGCCGCCGCCGCCGCCGCCACCGCCACCGCCTGCTCCCGGCCCGGCACCTGCACCTCCCGCGCCGCCCGCCCCGCCCCCGCCCCGCCCCCTACCCGCCCGGAGGCGGGGCTCCAGGGCCGGGGCGGGGCCGGGGCGGGGCCGGGGCGGGGCCGAGCCGGAGCCGAGGAGCGGAGGGGCAGATGACGAGACCAGGACTCGCCACAAGACCCTGGGGGAGAGCGGACACCGGCGGGGAGGCGGTGGGGCGTGCAGGGGAGTGTGTGAGCGGGACACGGCTGGGGAAAGTGTGCGGTGCTGGGTGAGGGCAGGGGTGGTGGCTGTCGAGCCAAGAAGTCAGAGTGTGTAGGTGTGTGCGAGGGAAAGAGCATGGTGTGAAAGTGTTAGTGCGTGAGGGTGAGCGCGCGTGTGAAGGGGGAGGGTGTGAGGGTGTTGTTGGAGGGCTGTGCGAAGGGACGGGTGTCGTGTGGGGGTCAGGGCTGAGGGGCGGTAACTGTGGGAGGGTTAGGGTGTGTGAGCGGGTGTGTAGAGGGGAGACTTGTGTGAGGAGAGGGTGTGAGCACTGAGGGACGGAGCGTGTTTCCTGGGAGAGGTGAGTGTGAGAAGTGTTGTGTGGACAGGTGAGTGAAGGTGAAAGTGCCCCCACGAAGGGCTGGGAGCGGAGCCACCTTGACAGGGAAGTCAGCCTCGCGTCAGGGCAGGTCCAGGACCTCCCAGGGCCCGGCTGGGCTGGGCGGGGCGCGGCTTGGGTCAGACCCCACCCTCCCTCCTGTCCTGACCCGAAAACCCGCGTTTCCGCATCACTACCGGGAGGGGCCCCCTGAAAGTGAACCAGCTGGAAGGAAGCCTGAGTCTCAGCGAGGGAGAGGCTCCTGTGGATACTCCCAGGCCCTAGCGTCCAGCCACCCCGCCCGCTTCCCTACTCTTCCTGCCCCAGCCTCTCTTCGTGTCCGTCTTTCTCTGTGCCCCTCCCACTTCTCTCCCCTCTTCGGTGCTGACTCACCGCTGCAGACTCGGGTCCCTTCTCCCTCCTGGGGAGTGTGTCTCCCTGAGCCCACTTTGCTGGGACCTTGTAGACCTGGTGCAGGATTATCGACCGTAGAACCCAAGACGAGTGAGAAATCACACAAGGAGGGGGACCTCAACCTCTTCCACTCCTTTGACAATTAGGTAAACTGAGACATGCCAACTATGAAAATCTTTGCTTGTCATCTCCATCACTACCAAAATATTCTATATCCAGGCCTACCAAGGGACTTCAGCACCAGACACCCTTTCTGTCCTCAGCACCCAGCTCCCAGCATCCTCTCTGCTCTTTGGACCAAATTTCCCATCAACCTCTGTATTCCCAGGACCGCAACTCTGAGTGACTCCCTTCCTTTTTCATTCTCTGTTTACACTTCTGGAAAGTGGGAAAAGAGGTGGTCAGGTTAGACCATCTGTAATCCGTCCAGCACTGTATGCTAAACAAGTGGGAGGGAGGTGTCTAACCTGGATTTGGTTAGGGGGCAGCTAATAGCTGTCTTTGTCCCCAAGAACCCACAGGTCTCCTAACCCATGGCTCTAACTAATGTCTCTTGCTCCAGCCACAGGGCACCCTGAGGGCTGTTGTTTTGGTTCCCATCTCTCTTCTTTGGGTCCCACCACTTCTTCCACCTCAGGACATCATGGGAGTGGTGGTCCTGTCCCCATCTTACTCCAAGATACTTTATCCATTGAGGTTTTCACACAAGTGACAGCAAATCCAACCCCACTGGCTTAAAGGAAAGAGAATTGTAAAGAAACAGCCTTGGACATGGCCAGCTTAAGCACAGTCTGTCCATTTTTGTCCTTAAGATACATGTCTTTCCTCATGTTGCAGGATGGCTGGTGAATACCCCTGGGGCCACACTTTGTCTTCACATTTGGGAAGAGCCTGAGGTAGACTGAGATAGACTGAGAGAGCCTGAGGTGGGAAGAGAGAAAGGGAGAGAGGAGCCCCCTCAGGAGAGAGGGGAAGTATTTTTCCCCAGGTGGCCCTAGAAAAACCTTTCATTGTGCCTCATTGGTCCAGATGATGCCACCTGCCTGTCAGGGAACCAATATCAATGTCCAGGAGATGAGATTATGCTGATTGAGTCAGACATCAGCCAAAGACTCCCCCTACCCCAGGCCAGAGGTGAAATCAGCTTTCTCAAACAGAAATGACCTCAGGGAGACGGCTGCTGTGCCTGCTGTGTGGGGGGTTGGGGGGGAAGGGAGTGGGCTGCACATTATGAGTTGAGTGTTCCTGAGTTTTTGAAGCCTGGGATGGTGTCAGCTTTGTTAGTTGTTTATTCAGTGTCATTCTGTGAGAGAATAGAGATACATATTTGGCCCTGGCCATGTGGCTTTGTTGAGCCAAAAGGTTGCTGATTTGATTCCCAGTCAGGGCCCATACCTACCTAGGCTGCAGGTTTGGTCCCTAGGTAAGGCACATACAGGAGGCAATCAATCCATGTTTCTCTTTCACATTCATGTTCATCTCTGTCTCTCCCTCTAAAAGTCCATGGAAACATGTCCTTGGGTGGGGATTTTATACATACATACATATATACTTGGCCTTTGTTTTCCCTGGTTCCTGGCACAGAGCTCCTGAAATCCTTATAATTTCTTGGGTGACAAGAGTGTCTTTTGTTTTAACAAGGTGACTCTGGGCTTCTGAATGAGAGCCGGTCACCTGAAAGACCAAGTCTTGATTAGAAGCTTGGAATTTCCAGCTTTGTCCCCCATTCTCTTGAGAAGGAAATGGAGCTGAAGGATAGAGTTGGCCACCTATCATGCCTCTGTGAAAATCCCACAGGTATGCTGTCCTGAGAGCTCCTGGGTCAGTGAACACACACAGGTACCAGAGAGAGTGATGTGCCCAGAAAAGGTATGGAAGCCCCACACCCCTCCCCACATGCTCTGCGCTCTGCATCTCTCCATCCGGGTGCTCATCTCTGTCCTTCCTCATATCCCTTTACAATAAACCAGTATATGTAACTGTTTTCTGACTTCTGTGAGCCATTCTAGCAAGTTAATCCACCCTGAAGAGGACGTCACAGGAACTTCTAATTTACAGCCTATTGGTCAGAAGTACAGGGGACAACCTGGTCTTGCCATTGCCTTCTGAAGTGGGGAGTGGTCTTGTGGGACTGGGCCCTTAACCTGTGGGGTCTCATGTCATCACCAGGTTGATAGTGTCAGAATTGGGTTCAATCGTGGAACGTCCAGCTGGTGTCGTAGGGAATGTCTTAGTATGGAGAACCACTCCCCGCTCCCCCACAGGAGAAAGACACAGAAGGGAAGAACTGGGTTTTATCCTATGCAGGAGGAACACTGGGAGTTTTTTCCCCCTAATACACATTCTTCCCCCTATGTTCCTTCTTTAAAAAAATTCTAATTTGGGTCATGCACCCACCTTTCTTTAATAGCCAGATGATGTGAGGGAAGCCCTAGGAGTGGGGTCTGAATATAGTTTGCAGATGCTGTGGTTCCTTTTCTCCTTCCGGTGGTGGCCATAGATATGGGTATACATAGCAAGTCAGGCAAATAAAATGTGAGGGCAAGTTGGGCTGTAAATTTTGGGATAATATTTCTTTGTTTTAAAAAAAAGTGGCCCAAGTACATATAGCCCTTTGTTGTTGTCTGCAAATGTGGGTGTGATGTTTGGAACCTCGGCAGCCACACTGAGGCTAGGAGATGGGCAATCCTAAGTGGATCCTTTAGGAGAGAGTGGAAACGTTGAACTAATCAACCCAGGAACTCCCCTAACTCATGATCTCTTGTTCTCTGAGATCATGTTTCCTTTTTGTTTCAATCATTTTGAGTTGCGTGTCCTATTACATACAGCCCTGGCCACCATCTTGCCTGTGAGTCACACAGAATGGATGGAGGCAGCCCTGCTTGCAGAAGAAAACATTCTAAGACAGAGTTTCCTTTTGCAGTTGCTCCCCCATCCTTGTGATAGCTCTCTCTCACAGAGGTTGTTTTCCCAGCTCTTGGAGAGCGAGCTGCCTATTGTGAGAACTGCAGGAGCTGTGTGTGCCTATTTACAACCCGAACAACGGTACATAGTGGCTTTGATGTGAACTTCCCTGACCATTGTAGCAGAGGGGGTCATAGGCAGGGCCCTGACCCAAACCAGATCCCACCAGAGTCTGTCTGCTGAAAGTTTAGAACCAGCATCCAGTGGTTCTTGGTACTTGACATTTCAAGGGCATCTTTGGCTACTATGTGTGAAGCAAAAGAAGGTAGTATGTGGAAAGATGGAAAAATAAAGTGAAATGTCCTGGCTGGTATAGCTTAGGGGACTGAGCTTGGGCCTGTGAACCAAAGAGTTGCCAGTTCAATTCCCAGTCAGGGCACATGCCTGGGTTGCAGGCCAGGTCCCCCAGAGGGGGCACATGAGAGGCAACCACACATTGATGTTTCTCTTCCTTTCTTTCTTTTTCCCTTCCCATCTCTCTAAAAATAAATAAATAAAATGTTTTTTAAAAAATGAAAGCCCAAGAGGAAAGCTACACTTTTGAGAAAGAGAGACAGACAGATTTTGCAAAAGGGAGGCAACCTTAATTTCACAAGAAGATTTTCAGCTACATTTCCTGTTCCCAGTGAGGCCCAGAGACCTAGCTCTTGCCTGGATTCTAAACTTCTAATAATGTTGTCATTTTTGCTTAAGTCAGCTTAAATAGATTTTACTTCTTGCAGCCGAGATCCATGAACAAAATCTTGGGAGCCATTAACAATGAAGTCCTGATTACAAGCTGTGGTTTAGAACATTATGAGAAATTTATCCCTAGCCTCAACATCTGCTGTAGGGCATCACAGGAGATGTAATCCGAGCCTTCAATCTCTGCTGTTGGGTCTCATGGGAAATGCAGTCCTTGCCTCAATTCCTGCTAAAAGGCATCATGGGAAATGTGGTGCTAGCCTCCAATCTCTGGTAGGGCACCATGGTGGATGCAATTCTAGCCTCCAATTTCTGTCCTAGGGAATCACGGTGAAGGTGATACTATTCTCAATTTTCATTATGGAGCATCTCAGAGAATGTCATCTTGGCCTCATCTCTGCTGCAGGGAATCATGGGAGATAGATCCTAGCCTAGTGTTTGTTGTAAGAGACCACAGATGATGTAGTCTTTCAACCCTTTGTTCCTTCCTTCTTTTCTTCACCCCCTGCCATGTTCCAGGCACTATTCTGGGTACAGGGAAGGCAGCAGCGAGCAAATGAAAAGGCCTCGCTCTTTATGGGGATTATAATGTGAAGACAAACAAGTTAGCAAACAAACAAACAAATGACTGTTCCAGGTAACCATCGCAGCATTACAAAATAACCCCAAACCCAGAGGTGTAGAACACCACCTTTTTAGTTGGTGATTCTGTGGATCAGGAATTCCAACAAGGCATAGCAGGGTCAGTGTGTATCAGCTCCACAATGGACTGGGGCCAAAGTGGGCTGTCTGGAACAGCTGGAGGGGGCAGGGTAGCTCACAGGGGCCAGATATCTGAAACCTTGGTTCTGGCTATTAATGGGTTTGTGGGTCAGATTGTGTCCCCCTCAAAATATATGTTGAAATCCTAACCCTCAGGATCTATGAATGTGAACTTATTCTAAAATAGCTAGGATGAGGTCATACTGGATTAGGCCAGGACCTCAAATCCATGACTGGTGACCTTCCAAGGAGAGAGAGATTTGGGGACCCACAGCCACACTCACAAAGAAGAAGGCCACGTGAGGACAGAGGCAGGGAGTGGAGCGATGTAGCTGTAAACCAAGGAAAGCCAAGGATTGTCAGAAGCTAGGAAGAGGCTTCTTCCTACAGACTTTTGGAGGATTCTTCCCCAGAGACTTCAGAAGGAGCATGGCTCAGCCAGCGCCTCGACTTTGGACTTCTAGCATCCAGAACTCCGAGAGAGTGCATCTGCGTCGTTTGAAGCCACCCAGTTTGCCAGTTTGTAGTAATTTATTCTAGCAGCCCTAGGAAATGAAAGCAGCTGGGTTTCCTGCTTCCCCTGCACATGGACATCTGCTGGGGTTACGATGTCCAAGGCAGCGCCTTCGCCCACTTGTCTGGTGCCTGGGCTGAGATGCTGGAACATGTGTGGCGCTCTCTCCATATGGCATCCGTGCAGGAGCAGCTTGGGTGTCCTCATAGCATGGCAGTCTCAGTGCAGGAGGACTTTGACGTGGCAGCTGGCTTCCCCAGAACCAGACAGTTCCTGACAGCCTGGGCCCAGAACATGGCGTGGCGTAACTCCCACCACATTCTTTTATTGGTCAAAGCAGTCGCAGAGCCACTCACGTTCCGGAGGTAGAGACACAGACCCCGTCGCTTCCAGCCACTGCAATGACAGGCGGTGACGTGTGTTTGGAGGAGCTCCTCAAAAGAAACCCTGCTCCTCACCTCACCCCAAATACTGTGGAGATTATCTTTTTCTTCGTTTGCCATCAGGCCCCCTGTAGTTTTGTCCCCGTGGGTTTGCTTCAGTGAACCCTGGAAAACGTGACCCCTTCACTATTGTGCTCCAAGAGAGCCACTGAAATGGTAGTTCTGTTTTTGTCGGTCAGTCTGAGGGTATCCTAGGAAATAGAGCCCAACCTTTAGCTCCTGGCCCCAGAGCATCAGGGGAAATGTAGTCCTGTCTTTGCTTCTCACTGCAGTGCATCAAGGGAGTTCGGGCAGGCAGGTCATCTCCCTACATCTCCTGTCTCAGAGTCTGCAGGAAATGCGGGCATGTCTCCACAGAACAACAAAGTGGCCTTGACCTTTGGAGTGTGGGAGAAGATGCTGGAAGGCTAGTACTTAGGTGAGTCAGCTGGAAGGCATTGCATTTGGAGCTCAGAAATAGATGTGGGTGTGACTTAGGGTGGAAGCCCACACGGGACAGCTCCCAGTGGGGGCCTCAAACACCTGGGTCCTACCATGTGACCCCCAATTCCAGGAGCCTGAAGTCGGGTGCCCCCCCCATGCATCCTTTGAAAGACAGACATTATGGACAAGGGCAGATCTGGCCCTGCTCATTGATATAAAAATGAACTTTATATAAGTATAAAATATTAAATAACACAAATATTAATTAATAATAACAACAACAGCGGCGGCAATATTAGTAATAATAAGAACTCTTCTGCTGGCCCGCAGCCTTTGTCCGGCTTTCCCCCTCTGGTTCTCTGGTTCTCTGTGAGACAGGTGGTTTCACGGCTGGGGAAACTGAGGCCTGGAGGAAACAGCACACTAGCCTGAAGTCACACAGCACATCTGCAGGACCAGGAGCAGAGAGAAGGGAGAAGGGGCCCCCTGGATCCAGCCAGGGCAGGCGGAGTGTGGGGTCAGGTCCAGAGGAGAGTGCCTCCCCACAGTCTCGCGGTCATCAGGAGGGTGACGGTGAGGCTGAAGTGGGCAGGGCCAGCCCGGGGCGCCCCCCACGCGGGGCTGCCTATCCCCATTTGGGTGATTGCAGCCATTTCCAGTACAGCACGTGACGTTGAGATGGGTCAGTCTGTAGGCTTCAGCCACATGGAGGCTCTGGCACCATGAAGGCGTTGCACAACCTCTCACTGTGTAGTGCGGGTTCCCCAGCTCTGAGGAGAGAGAAGATGGTGTGAGTTCCCAGCTCTTGGGCCTGAACTTCTCACTGGGCAACAAGCCACCTTGTGGTGGGAAAAGCAGAAGTTCTAAGTGTGGTGCAGGGGATCTGGGAGGTCAAAATTATTCTCATGATAATGCCAAAACATCATTTGGCGTTTTTGCTCTCCTGAGTGTACAGTGGGGTTTTCCAGACTGCCGGGACATGTGGTCTTGCCACAGATTGCGTGCAGAAGCAGATAGGAAGATCCAGCTGTTTTCTATTAAGCCAGACAGTGAAGAGACTTATATGTAGAACTATAGAACAATGCCAAACTTCTCGTTAAATTTTTTCATTTTGGAAAATATAGTGGGGTTTTTTTCAATAAAAATATGTTCATGTGTGATGAGTTTTTAATTGTTATTTTATTTCTTTATTTTTTGGGGTGCACCATTCCTGGAAGTACTGCAATACCAGGTCGATGCGTGGAGTGGGTGAAGTAAGCATCTATTCCATCTCCTAATTCCAAAAATCCATTTAATATACTGTCCTCGGATAGAGAACATATCAGATATTAAACTGATAAAAACAGATACTACACTTGATCTTAGCCAAAAGGCCAATAAGTGATAATTATTATTTTAGAATACATTAATAAATACATCTTATAAAAATGTCTGTTTTACTTTCTAATGCAGTAATATCTATAGATATAGCTGACATACACAATTCTTTTTAAGAGTGTGAAGGAATCTTGACATCAAAAAGTCTGAGAGCTACTGGAACAGAGGCCTTTCCAGGATGTGCCAGGATGGAAGCCCGGGATATCCACAGGAAGTCCCACCCCCAAAGAATTCCACGTTTCTGTGGCCAAAAGATCCATTTCCTAAAGGACAAGTCCTAATTCCTTACTAGAATTTGCACCCAGCTGAAGGATAGGAACACCCACCTCAATGATGTCCAGCTAAACTGGAAGCTGACCCCTTGCAGACACCCACCCCTTCCAACCTGCCAAATGGCCTCACCATCAGAGCCTGTGGCTTCCAGACATTGATTCATGGGGCCTCGGCAGGCGGTGAGGGAGGTCTCTTCGGAGGAGCATCCATGCGTGCTGTTCCCCTCACAGCTGTAACACTGGAGGCCATTCGATGGCAAGTTCTGAAGCTCCAGGACTTGGGAGAAGACAAGAGACCAACGAAATTAGCACAAGGTGGGGGTGTCGGGAAGTGTGTCCTTCCTTGCATTGACTCCCCGCTCTCAGCCCGAGACGTCACGAGGCCCCCTTGTGGTCGACATTGGAATGGCACTCTCTTAAGGGGTTCTCTGGGGTCTGCGGGAGAAATCCCAACTCTCAGGCCCCGCTGAGTCCCTGTCGGCCCAGGCACCGGGTAAGCAGCTGGGTTAAGATGAAATAGTCCCTGCCCTCACAGAACTTACAATTTAGAGCGACATTGTCCCATATGGTAGCCACTAGCCACATGTGGTTGTATCTACATTGAAATTAATTAATAATAAATAAAATTCAAAATTCCGTCCACACGTCAAGTGCTCCATAGCCACTTGTGGCAGTGGCAACCATATCGCACGGTAAAGAGGCAGAACGCTTCCATCAGTGTGGAAAGTCCGGTGGGACAATGTGTCATCGAGACAGTGTAATGCGAGGGATCTGGATTATGCTGAAGGGGAGGGGTAGGGAAAGTTTCAATGAGGATGAGTCTTTAAGACTGGGACCTAATGAACGAGAAATAGCCGGTCAGGTGAACTCTTCCTGGAGACGTGTTTCTAAGGGAGGGAACTGCCAGTGCAACGACCATGAGGCAGTACGGCGTTTGGCAATTGCAGAAACGAAATAAGACCGCGAGGCAGGTAGGTGACGAATTGCATAGGGCATGTGGATTTTATTCTAAGAGCAAGGGGAAGTCCTTAAAGTGCTTGAGGAAGGACGGTGGCCTGATCTCATTTACATCTTTAAAAATCTCTCTTCCTGCTGTGTGGAACATTGGCCCTGGGGCCTCGGGGGGACCAGAGAGGAGGTTATCGCAACCATGTAAGTGAGAGGTCAAGGTGGCTCAGAACAGGGTGCTGAGCAGTGGAAGGACTCAGGAGAATTATGGAAGCATCAAATGTGGGTCTTAGTGCAGGTTTGCTAGACTCATTGAATTCTCACAAAATCCTTCTTGGAGGAAGGGTTTGCTATGTCCGTCTTTCAGAAGAGGAAATGGAGACCTAGATAAGAAGGGTTTACCTTTGAGAGCAGCAATGTCCCTGAGAGCACCTCCCCTCCTGGACCCCAGACCTCACGCTGGGGGCCCCTGCCCCTTACCTGGGCCCTGGTTGCATTTGGTAGTGTTGCAGCACCGCAAGAAGTGGAAGGTGTGGTTGTTGTGGAAGCCGGTGGGGCCTGGGCAGCCGGGAAGGTTGCCACAGCCTCGGGAGTGGCGCTCATCCCTTGGACTCTCTGTGGGGGGCAGAGGAGAGAGGTCAGGTTGTTGATGGAGGGCTGGGACTGGATTTGCCCATCGTGGCAGCCATCTGTCATTCTCTGCTTCACTGTTTGTTGCAGGACCTCATTTTCTTTGGGGCAGTCATATATCTAGCCAAAGGTCACGTGCCTAAGTTCTGGCCAATGTGATATAAGTAGCAAGGGTTTTATTATTATTATTATTTTTAAGATTTGATTTCTTTATTTTTAGAGAGAGGAATGGAGGGGAAAGAGAGGGACAGAAACATCCATGTGTGGCTGCCTTTCAAGCGCCCCCTACTGGGAACCTGATCTGCAACCCAAGCATGGGCCCTGACTGGGAATCGAACAGGTGACCCTTTGGTTTGAAGGCTGGCACTCAGTCCACTGAGCCACACCAGCCAGGGCATTAAGAAGAAAGGCTTAAGGGACTTCTAGAAGAACTATTACAAAAGGAGAGGTGTCCCCATTTTACCCCTTCTTTTCACCTTCCTTCTTCCTGGAACTTGGACATGAAGTCTGGAACTCTGACAGCTATTTTGGACTATGAGGCCATCTTGAGAATGGAAGCAATATGTAAGAAATGAGAATGCAGCTCTGGCCGGTGTGGCTCCGTTGGTTGGAGCGCCAACAAGTAGACCAAACGGTTGGGTGTTTGATCCCTGGTCTGGGCGTGTCTGAGAAAGCAACCAACCAATGTTTCCCTCTAGCATCAATGTGTGAGGATAAAAAAAAAAGTTTAATAAAATAAAAAAACCAAAACAAAATAATGAGTCTCTTAAAAAAGAAAAAGAAATGAGAAAGCCTCTGGGTTCCTGGTGACCGTGGAACTGTCCTTGTGGCCCTGAACTTCCTATCACTGGACTTTCTGTACGTGAAAGAACCACTTTTCCACCTCGCTTAAATCTCTGTTGTGGGGGATTGAAGTGCAGCCTGGGGGCGGGGCGAAGCAGGGAGGAGTTGCTGGCAGGTTAGAGCTCACCTTCCACACTCCGGTGGGTCACCACGTCCAGGCACTGTTCTCCAGGGTAGCGGCACTGGAGGCTCTTGTCCCAGCCCCTCTCACAGCTCAGGTCTGAAGAGGCGCAGGAGACACATTCGAGGTACCGGCTTCTGGGAAAGGTGGGAGACCGGCCTGGTGTGGGGGGGGGGGGGCAGGGTGGTGAGTCCATGGGGAAAGTCCTGGAGATCCAGCTCCCTCGAAGACTCGCCTCAACATCAATCACTCCTATTTCACTCTTCAGACAATCACTAAGCCCTGGTCATTCTGAATCTTTCTAGAACCCTTTCCCTCCTTTCTGGTCCCATGACCAGGCCTAGCTCAGACCTCCTTCAATACCAGCTTCCTCCCTGGCCTCCCGGTTTGCATTCTTGCCACTTCCACCCTTGCCCTAGTGCGTCCCCACATAGCTCTAGATTCCAGGTGGCAAACACAAGGCCCGAGGGCAGAATCTGGCCCTCCACCTTGTTTTGTCTGGCCTGGCACCTTGCTTCTACCCAGCAGCAGTGCCGAGCTCTCGCTTAACTGTTAAGGAGCAGTTACATTTCTACAGTCCTAAAGTTACATTCGACCCTTTGAAGGCAACCAAGAGGCTGACGTGGCCTCCGGTGAAAATGAGTTTGACACCCCTGCCCTAGAAGGATATTTCTAATACTCAACTCTGAACTTGTCTCTCTTCTGCTCAAAACCCTTCCATGGCTCCCCAGTGCTCTCAGCATAAAATCCATGATTGTCAGCGTGACATTCAAGGCCCATCAAAGACTGGGTCCTGGCTACCTCTCTTGCCTCGTCTCCATCCACTAGCTCCTCGATCTCTATTCCACACAACTTCCCACGGTTCCCAAATACACATGCCAGTGCATCTAACCTTTGCATCTGCTGTTGCCTTGCTCCCTACTTTCTCCATCTCCTACTCATTCTCCAGGCCTCATCTTCTTCAACTTTACCTCGCCCAAGAAGCCCTCCTTGACCTTTTAGGCTGCATCGGGTGCCTCTCTGTGTTCTCCAATTCCAGCCTAACTCGCTCTGGGTCATCCCTGTCTGGTGACAGGCTTGTTTCCCTCAGTGGACTCTGAGTCCCAGGAAAGTACAGCTAAGGCTATCTGGTCACTACTGCACCCCAACACCACCCAGCAGAAGGCCCGAGCCAGAGAGGATATTGAATAACTATTCATTGAATGAATGAATGAATGAATGATTACTTAAGACCCTTCTATGGTTCCCCATGGTAGCCGGTCTCCAAGAGAGCCCTCAGTGATCCCGGCTGCCTGATAGTCCTGCCCTCGTGTGGTCCCTTCCCATGAAGAGTAGGGCTGCCAGTATAACCAAAAGGATGCTGAGGCAGTGAAGGCATGCAATTTCTGCGCTAGATTATGAGACATTGTGACTTTTCCCCAGCTCTTTCTTGGATCCCTTGCTCTGGGGGAAGCCGCTGCCGTGTCATGAGGGCACTCAGGCAGCCCCAGAGCATGGTCCTTGTGGCGGGAACCGAGGCCTTCGCCAGAGCGGGTCACCCATGCGGGCGAAGCCTCCCGGGGAGCCTCCAGGTGACTGCAGCTCAGCTGCCTCTGGACTGCAAACCACATGAAAGATGCAGAGCCCTCTCACTAAGCTACTCCGGATTCTTGACCTTCAGAAACTTTTGCGAAAGAATGCACATTTATTTTTGTTTTAAGTTTTGGGGTAATGCAGCAACAGATAATTAATTCCCGACCCAAGTGTCTCAGGGATCAAAGCTGCACTTGATGGAACGGTAATAACTTGGCTTCTCACATGGACCTTTCCGGTCAGGCCGAGTGAAGGAGTTCCCTTTCCCTGGATTCTCTGGTCATTCCTCTGCCCAGGCCTTGGCTCACACCATCCCCGAGCTTGGCATGCCTGCCCCTTCCTGACCCCAGATATCCAAGATGAGTCTGAGCCAAGTCTTAGAGAAACGAGAGGGCATCTCAGCCAAGGCTGGAAACTGGGGAGCCAGCAGCTGTAATTAGGCAAATAAATTACATCAAAGGCCTAATCCCATCCACCCTCCTCCCACCTGCCAGAGAAAAATAACTAAAAGGCCAACAAGAATCCAAGTCTTCTCACATGAAATTCCATGAAAATGAAAACACAAACTGCCATCACTGCCAAAGTAGCTGTCTCATACCACCCATGGGTCTCCTTTGGGGACTCTGCTTACGTTGCCTTTCTAACTGTGGGTGATCCTCAGGGTTCTGTCTGAGGCCCTTTACATTTCTCTCGGTGCACACTCTCTCCTACGGGGAGGTTACCTACTGGCGTGGCTTCATCTCTGCCTACCTGCTGAGGACTCATAAGTCTCTCTCCAGGCAGGACTTCTCTCTGAGCTCCACACTGCACACCCAACGGCCTCCTGGAGGCCCCGGGCCATCCCTCAAACACCCGAATCTACATGCCACACCCGGAACTCCCCATCTCCTCCCCAGACCTGCTCTTCTTCTGAATTCCACATGTCTGAGGTGGCCCCATCCTGTCCTCCAGGGCAGACACTTGGCAAACTCCTTACTCCTAGATATCAATCTGGACCTTCTACTGCCCTGTCCTCTAGTTCTTTAATCCTTGGGCTCTGCTATTTCTGATCGCTATGAAGCACATCTATTGAGTTCTTCATTTCCGTCACTGTCCTATACATCCTGTTTGATTTTTTTAAAAAACGGATTCCAGATCTCTGCTAAAACTCCTCCTTTCCTCCATTTTCTCAAATATGTTCATCACAGGTATTATAAAGTTCCCTAATAATTCCAATATCTGAATCCTTATGAGCCTGTTTCTGTTGTTGGATTTTTCTCTTGGTTTCCGGGCAATCAGTGTTTTCTTTGTTTCAGGCTACCTTGTAAGTTTTGATTAGATGCCAGACATTACAGATGAAAATTTGTAAAGACTCTGAACAATGTAGCCTCTTCCAAAGAGGGGTAGACTTTCTTTCTGCTGGAGATTGGAAGTTCGCATTGTTAGGACTGGTGTATTTCAGTTTTGCCCCGCCTCCGAGAGTGTGGCCTCAGAGAAAAGCCTGAGAAGGTTACCAAGGCCTCTCCTGCCAGCTTGGTAACTTGGGTCTTCCCAGCATCTTGCACCTGCTGGAATCCTTGCTCAGTTCTGCAGCTTCCAAGGTACTATTTGCTGCTGAGCTTCTTGGAATCTCACCGTACGCACATTCAGCTTGCCAATGACTGAAGGAAGTCATTTGCATACGTGAGGACTCCCTTTTCTGTGGTTCCACGCACTCCAGGATTTGGCCTCTCATTTTCCAGACACTCTGGGAGCCCCAGGTGCCACCTCTGTCTTCTCGGTCTAGCGACGATCTCTTTCTGCGTGGGTTCAATTTCCCCTCCACAGCGGCAAATTGGAAAGTGCACTCAAGGAAAACCCCAGCTTGTCTGTGGAACTCGGCTTCTGTGCGTGCTCTGTTTCTCTTCATCGGCTGCTTTCCAGTGACTTCAAATAACTGTTTATAACTCATCCAGCTTTCTTAGCTGTCACTGGTGGGGGTTTTGCCTTATAGAATGGACTCCATCATGACCAGGACTACAAACCACCGCCACGTCTGATCTACCACTAAACCTTGCTCATCCGCTGGTAAACAGCCCCCAAATTCATCCACTCCTCTACATCCACAGGGCTGACTGTCTGACTCGACCGCCTTCATCTTTACCTGGACAACTCATCCACCTCCAAGCTGGTCCCCTCCCCTTTCCTACCTTCCCTCCACCATGGTGTCCCTCCTCGCCTCACCCCCTCATCACCACATCCCTCCAAGCTCCCTTTCACTCTGAGGTCAGAATAATATATTAAAAATATGAATCTGATTGGAACCCTCTGCTTAAAACCCCTTCATGACCTCCCACCACGCCCCCAATGAAGTCCGTGTTCCTCACGACAGCCTAGGAGGCCCCGTGTAACACGACCCTGACAATTTCACCGGCTGTCTAGCCCCATTTGCCCCTTTCTCCCACCACCTCTGGGCCTTTGTATCTGTAGCTCCCTTTCCCTGGGAAACCCTTTCACTGTCTTTTTAACCATCTGATTCCTCCTGGTCCCACAAGATCCATCTTAGCGGTTGCTTGCTGCAGGAAAGCTTCCCCAACCAGAGTCGAGCATCTCCTCAAGGGCCCCACAGCCCAGCTCTCACTCATCCCAGCCCCGATGGCTCCGGCCCCATTCCCCCCACTCCCCACCCCAGTCCTGACAACTCTGGACTGGGCTTTCCCACGGCAGCGCTGACCCCTCTGGTCTCCGTTTCCTCCACTATGGTTCTGACGCCTCTTCCTGGGCTTCTCCCATCCCAGCTCTGACCGCTCTGGCAGTCGCTGTGTCCCCATGTGCCTGTCACACCCTCCCCCTTCCACTAGGCCTCGAGCTCCACAGGGGCAGGGCCCAGGGCTGTCCTGGTCACGTCTGTGCCCCCTATTACTAACGTACAGGATGTGGGGTTTAGCCAACTATTCCAGTCACCACAAGCAGGGTAAGATGGCATTAGAAATGTGCCTGAGAGAGGCACATCAGGTCTTAAATTACTGACTTGGCAGCTGCTGCCCCAAGCTCTCTGGTGGACCCCCGGCCACTCCCAACTTTTCCTTTAGAATCCTCACGTCCCCAGGACCCATCAGCTTGTAGTACCAGGCCCAGCAGGGACCCTGAGGTCTCTTCCAATTGACCGATGCCTTCTGCCCTGACCTGTATCATTAAATATTTTGAATATTATCCCTGTGAGAAGCATTACTTAGACCCAATTATTAATGCTTTCCTTAAGCACATCTAACCGAGAGAGGAAGCCAGTATCCTCTCTCATGACTTCCTTGAAAGTGAACATCTGATTCAGTTCCCACTGACAGATAAAGTTTGAGGTCAGGATGAATGAAGAACGAGAGCGAACACAGGCTTCTGCTTTCTGACGGCACTGTGACAGGACCGGCCTTTGCCAATTTCCTTCCTCATTAGGGCCAGAAAGAGGAATCTCTGCTCGCCTCCAGCGGGGATGATGCCTTCCCCACCCTCTCTCCCCTGCGGGAACTGGAGGAATTGGAATCTTTTTCTTAAACTGACCACAGCCTAAAGCCACAAAACTCAGCACAAGGGCTTATGGAAGGGTTTCTTCACATTCTTTCTTTCTCACTGCCGAAGGCAAGGACCATCCTCTGTTAGGGAGCTTCCTGAGCCCCCTGCAGCCTGGGATCCCCTCCTTTCTTTTTGACTTTCCTTATGAGTCTCTGGTATCTCTGGTCTTTGCATCCTGGTCCCTTAGCACCTACTGGCTGAACCATCTCCTGCCCCACGGAAGGAGTCACACATCATCAGTGAGATACCGCATCTAGCTCTTGAGTGGGTGGATGTGTGCGTAGCTTCTTCAGGGCAGGTGTTGCATCTCACGCATAACAACCATAAAGACAAACATGTATGGGATGGGATAGGGTTAAGGGATGGGGGTGAGTCTGTGGGTGGCATTGGGGACCATTTGAGATGAGTCAGTTTAGGGGTGGGGTTAGAGAGGTGTTTGGAATAAGGATGAGTTTGAGCCGGAGGGCGCTGGGGGTGACGTGAATCTGGGGATGGGATAGGAGGCACGGTTGAGTCAGGGTTGGACATGTGTTTGGGACAAGGAAGGGTTTGAGCTGGGGGTGGTCGTGGGGTACGGCGTGGAGCTGGGGTTTGCATAGCGCCGAGGATAGGACAGGGGGGACGCCGGGGTTGAGTGCAGAAAGCAGAGGGTTGTGCGGTGCAGGGGCTGTCCTACTCACCAGAGTTGGGCCGGTTGCACAAATCAGACCCACAGACAGCCTCCGTCAGGGTGATGACCTGCATGCCTGTGCGATAGCTCATGGTCCTGTTGGTCTTCTCTGGGTGCGCACAGCCCGTCTCCACCACCTCCAGCTCTTCACTGACTGTGAGGAACGTGTCTCTGTCACCCCAGAGGCACCCCCGGGGCCCAGCCAGCCTCTACCACTGCTGGCCTTGTGGTAGCCTGCTCCTGAGGCTGAGTCCCGGCCTCTGCTCTTGCTGGGGTCCAACTCTGTCTTTTCTAGCGTTAACCCGCCCTCCCACGAACCCCGCACAGGGAGCCCACTTTCTCTCAGTGACAACACCGTCCCTGGGGCCTTCTGGATCCATCTACCTCTGTCCCCCCAGCTTAGTGACCTTAGCAGGGAGATACCTCTAATGGAAATTTTTAAAGGAAAATGCTTTAAGCTTACTCAAAAGTGTGAGACAATGATATAATAAAGACTGTGTATTCATTGCCTAACTTTATAAAGTATTTGCATTTTTCCTATATTTGTTTCAGACATTTTAAAAATAAGCGAACCTTAAAAGATGGAGTGAAAGCCCTCTGCCCCAGCACACTCCCCTCTGCCCTGTCTGAAGCCAATGGCAGGTACAACAGGCGCTGTTGTTTGACACATTTTACACTTCATATTTAAAGGTATCACACTCTGCAACATGGTCTTTCCTCTCACCCTCACGTTTCTGAGATGTATCCATATTAATGCCCGCAGGTCTACTTTCTTCATTTAAACTGCTGCATGGTATTTCATTATGTGATCACACCATAATTTTCTCCTCTGCTGCTGAGTGACTTGAGGGTGTTTCCCATTTTCCATTTCACAAACATTGCTGCTAAGAACATTGTTCTAATGTGTGTGTCTCTGGGCACGCGAGGCCAGGGTTCCTCGGTGTTTCTATGTTCCTAGGAGTTGAAATGCTGGCGGTAGGGGGTACTCTAATCTTCATCTATACTAGATATTACCAAATAGCTCTGTGGGGTGGATGCACCATTTGACTCCCAAAAGCAGGGTCTGCAGCTCCGCATCCTCACCAAACCCAGTGTTGTCAGATTTTTATGTGCTTGTCAGCCTGGCAGGGGTGAAACAGGGCATCTTGTCTTTTTGCTTGCATTTCCCTGATAGCTGGTGAAACAAGGTTTCTTGGTCCCTTGCGTTCCCTGTGGCGCTGGAGTCCGGGAGCTTACCTTCCCATATGCGCAGGACCGTGGTCCTGCAGAGAGCCTGGCCGGGGGCACACTCTTCCACCTGGCAATGCCCGTTTCTCTCACACCGCATGCACCGCAGGCCCCGGGTGGCTAGGGAAAGACGGAGGAGACAGTCAGAGAGTTTTATTATATAGCTCTGCGCCAGGATCCCCCCTCTCGTCCTTCCGCTGATGTCCCAATACCAGGACCACCAGGTCTCCCAGCCCTGTGCACTCAGGTTTGCGCTCCATGTTCTGCCAGCCCCTGGGCTCCAACGCTGGGTTCAGGCTAGCGGCAGTTCTAGTATATCTCTAGCTCAGAGTCCCGTCCCTGCATCTCTTTCCTAAGGTTCTATCCCCGCCCATCAGCCCTTCGGAAATTTGAACCCCGACTACTTAGTAACTCGCACTGTGGCCTCCCCAGCGCGCTTTCTCCCCTCCCACTAGCTCCTCCCCCAGGTTCTCTCCCCGCCCACTAGCTCCGCCCCTCGGTTCTCTCCCCGCCCACTAGCTCCACCCCGAGGCTCTCTCCCCTCCCACTAGCTCCTCCCCCAGGGTCTCTCCCCGCCCACTAGCTCCGCCCCGAGGCTCTCTCCCCGCCCACTAGCTCCGCCCCGAGGCTCTCTCCCCGCCCACCAGCTCCACCCCGAGGTTCTCTCCCCGCCCACCAGCTCCACCCCGAGGTTCTCTCCTCGCCCACCAGCTCCGCCCGGAGGTATATCTCCGCAAGCTTGCCTGGCCGCAAGGCCTATTCCAGGGGTGTCAGACACACCGGGAGCCACATCATCCGAATGGGCCGAATGTATTTTCAACTCCTTAACAGTTAAGAAGAAGTAGTTACATTTATACAGTCCTAAAATTATTTCGGCCCTTTGAAGGCAACCTCGAGGCTGATGTGGCCCCCGGTGGGAATGCGTATGACACCCCTGGCCTATTCCCTTACCACTAGGCTTCCACGCGCGTCCCTGCCTCCCCTGGATTTGGAGTCCTCCACCGTCATTACTCATTCTTGGTCTCCTGCGGTCGGCAGGGCTTTCCGGGTTATTCATTGGCGAAATAGCCCTCAACCCCAAACAACGTCCCCTCCCACCCCGCCTTGGCTGAGTTCCTTCTCTATTTTCTCTAGTTTTGTCAACCCTTTCCCCTTGAATTTTCCGGGGGAAAGGAGGTGAGAGGGTCCTGGAGGGGCAGCTCTGGGTCCCCAGCCCCGGGCTCCGTGACGCTCCACCTGGCTCTCCATGGATCTGGCGTAAAATGCACGGTCCTCCCTACGGCTGGGGTTGGGGGCTGGTGGTGGGGGCGGCTCGACAGACAGGAGGGAGCAGTGAACGCCCCTGCGGGGATCAGAATCTCACTCATTCAAGAACTGGCTGTGTGACCTCGGACCAGTCACTTAACCTCTGTGTGCCTCAGTTGCCTTCTGTGTGAAGCGGGGTTAACATAAAGTTCTGCCCGCCCAGTTGGAAATGTGCAAGTAAGGAATTTAGAGGAGGACCTGGAATAAACAGCTCTCAGTAAACGGTGGAAATGGTTAAATGCCTCCTCCGCTCAGCTAGGACTTCCTGAGTACCTACTGTGTGCTAGGTACTGTGCCGTGTAGGGGCTGCAGACAGCAGGAGGATTGTTATTTGAGTGGAGGGGCTGGGGACTGAACTCCCCTCCTGCTCCAACTGACCAGACTGAGTCCCCCTCTTCTCCCGTCCGCACTGCGGGGCCCCATTCCCAGAGCAGGTGTTCCAACCCAGGTGCCTCTACCTGGAATGCAGGTTTGAACCACAAGCAGCAGCAGCGGCAGCAGCAGCTGGGCGCCCATGTCCGGCAGCGACTCCTCCGTCCCTCAGCGGCTCCTGTCCGCAGCTTCCCTACCAGAGAGTCTGGCCCCGGGAAGGAGACCACAGTTTTGTGGTCCCGGGGGCTCCTCCCAGGCGTTTTGCGAAAGAGCGAGTCAGCCCTAGATGAGTGGGCGCCCCACCTCCTCCCCCACGTCACCCGCCCCCCCCCCCCGCCCGCAGGCCAAACTTCCTCTACCAGGGCGTGGCCAACCGGGAGTAGGGGGCCGGCTCTGCTCTGACTCACGCGGCCACGGTCACAGCTGTCCCCGGACCGCGGGGTGTAAATTCCAGTTCGCCCTCTTCCTGCTGTGGGATCTTGAGCCGGGAGCCTCACTTCTCCGGATAAAAATTTGTCCCTATAGAAACTGATGGCTGATTATTAGATGATATAGGATTTTTGTTAGTTTTGTTAGGAGGACAATGATATTGTGGTTTTGTGGGGAAATGTCTCTATCATTTAGAAATGAATGCTGAAATATTTGGGCTTGAAATAATAGCATGTCTCTAATTTACTTTAAAACACTTCAGCCAAAAAGTAGATAGTGCTGCTATGACAATGATTTTGCGGTTATATGGGAAAATTGTTCTTAATTTTTATAGCTCACTGAAATATTTAGAGGTTAATGTCATTGATATCTGTACTTAATATACACTTTAGGAAAAAAGAAAGGCAAAATAGCAAAATATTTGTATCAATTAGATAGAGGTAACTTATCTGCCATTCTGTCTCCTTTTCTGTGTGTTTGTAAAGATTTATAATAAATTGTTTTTCATTTATTGATTTTAGAGAAAGGGAGAGGGAAAGATTGATTTGTTGTTTCACTCTTTTTTTTTTAAGATTATTTATTTATTTATTTTTAGAGAGAAGGGAAGGGAGGAAGAAAGAGAGGGAGAGAAACATTAGTGTGTGGTTGCCTGCAGCGTGCCCCCTACTGGGGACCTGGCCCACAACCCAGGCATGTTCCCTGACTGGGAAATGAACTGGTGACCCTTTGGTTTGCAGGCTCACACTCATCCACTGAGCCACACCAGCCAGTGTTGTTGTTTCACTTTTTAATACATTCATTTGTTGAATCTTTTATGTGCCCTGACTGGGGATTGAACTCACAACCTTGGTGTATTGGGATGATGCTCTAACCAACTGAACTATGTGGCCAGGGCAATAATTTTTTTTTTAAAGTAACCCTGGCTGGTGTGGGTCAGTGGATTGAGTGCCAGCCTGTGAACCAAAGTGTTGCAGGTTCTGTTCCCAGTCATGGCACATGCCTAAGTTGCGGGCCAGGTCCCCAGTGTGGGCTATGTGAGAGGAAACCACACATTGATTTCTCTCTCCCTTCCCCTCTCTCTAAAAATGAATAAATAAAATCTTTAAAAATATATTTTAAAGTAAAATAAAATGCAAAGGCAAGGTAGTCCTCATCTCAGGATGCTTCTGACCAATCAGATCAATCAATGCAGGTGAGAATTCTGGACAATTGCTGGCCCACGTGGAGGCCTCAACAAATTCCTTCAATATTTACTAGGTGCCAGGAACTGGTCCAGGACTGGGTCACAGCAGGAAACCAAGCAAAGTCCCTTCCCTTGTGACCGGGGGGAGTAGATATGTGTTATCTAATCTATGGCTGCCAGGTAGAAGGAGGTGCAAGGTACAGGTAAGGTGCAGTCAGCTTAAGTGGGGGTGATCCAGGAGGGCTTCCCTGAGCAGGTGGCATTTGAGCAGAAACTGAATGTGTCAGGGGACTAGTTGGCAAATGGTCTGGGAAGAGTTCCAGGGAAAGGAAACAGCCAGTGCAAAGGCCCTGAGGTGGGAGTGTGCCTGATGATCGAGGAACAGCAGAGAGGCCAGCGTGGCTGGAACAGAACTGGAAAGGAAAACAGTAATAGGCAGTGAGTAAGTAGTTGCTACCTCTACCACTGCAGTAATGATGAAACTATTGTTATTCTTAGTCATTCAGCTAAGCCTTAAGCTAATAACATAAAGATAAGGTAGAAGAATCCTGAAGAAATCCTCTCTCCTAAGAGAGTATATCCTGCTAATTAAGAGAGTGGGGTGGGGGATGGCACCAGATTGTGAGGGTTCAAATACCAGGTACTCACTTTGCTGTGTGGCCTTGGGCAGGTTACTTAACTTTCCTGTGCATCAAACTCCTCATCTGGAAAGGAGAGAAAACAAGTGCCTCCCTCTGAGGGCCGGTGTGCTGGGGACAAAAGAGGATGGATGCACCAAGGTGTTGGCCACAGCGCCTGGCGCACAGTAGGTACTCTCAGAGAAACTGTAACTGTTATCAGTATTGTGGTCGCGCCCAACTGTAGACTCTGGCCCTAGTTTCCTCTCTGTGGGGTGGGAAGAGAGGTGGAGACACGTCATGAGTCTGAGGTCATCAGCTGTCATGCTGATCACTCCCTCCCTGGGCCACCGTGAACCAACAGATAGCTTCCTTTCCGAGCCTCAGTTTACTCACATGGGAAGGGGCCCCCTCCTGGGGCCTGGATGAAGGCTGAAGGAGATACTAACATGTGGGAGGTGAGAGGAAATAGAAAGTTGGGGTGTTGCTCTAGGTGGGCTTGAGAGCTGGCTCCCCACTTGCTCCAGGGTGATGATGGGCAGGTGGCTTCACTCCACTGTTCCTTGCTTTCCTAGCTGTGATAGGGGTCTGGGGAGGGTGGGGGGCATCTCTCAGTGAAAGGAAAGTTCAGATTTGGGGTTCACACGGAGGAGCTGTGTGGTCTGGAATCACCACTTCCTGGCTGGGTGACCTCACCACACTCGATTACAATTTCCTCTTTCATTTGAAGAATGAGGAAATTATCTTAGACCCCACCCATCCCCTCCTCAGAGTGCTCTGGTCCCCCCAAGCCCTTGTCTCTCTTCTGTGTCTCTCTGTCTCTGTCTCTTACTATCTCTCTGTTTCCTTCTCTCTGTGACTTGTTCTCTCTGTTTGTCAGGTGACACACACCTGATGAAGTCCAGTGACTGTGTTAGCAGAGAGGGCAGGCAGGGGGCAGGGCTGTGCACAATCCCAGAAAAGCGGCAGGAATGCCTTTCCTGCTGGTGATTCACCTGGGCCTCTCCTGCTCCCACCTGCCTGCTGGGTCCTGGGAGAGGCCCGCAGGTTTCGGGGGACTTCCCGGGCTGAGGAGAGGAGAGCCCCCTGCAGAGACAGAGAGGGAGAGACAGAGAAGGAGGGAGGGACAGTGAGAAAGGGAGAGAGGGCCCTGGGGGGGAGGGGACGGGAAAGCGAAGGAGAGGCCACAGACAGACTGACACAGGGGAGGTAATCAGAGAGGGAGAGAGATAGAGATGACAAAACAGCACATGAGAGACAAGGACAGAGACAGTGAGAAATAGAGGGACACAGAGAGAGAGAGAGACGGACAGGGACAGAGAGACAGAGATTGACAGAGGGAGTTAGAGAGAATGACACCACTCGCCTTCAAAGGGAGAAAAGTAGAGATGCAGAGAGACAGACGCTGTGTGTGCGAGTGCCCACCTGGGACCCGCTCGGACTCTGGCCACCGCCCTGAGGAAGTGACCGCCTTTGGCCGGGGCCGACGCCTTGGCCATTTCCTCCCCAACCCCAGGCCTAGTTGGCAACACTGGTGTCTATCTCCTCTCAGGGCCTTGGCTTAATCCCTCTGCACAAGCCGGGCTGACAGAAGAGGGACCACCCTGGGGAGTGACAGAGCTGGAAAACCCCTAGAGTCCGTACCCCTCTTCCCCCCTGTTTTCCAGATGGAGAAACTGAGGCTCTCCCCTGCCGTTTTTGTTGCGTGCTTGTGGGGGGCTGGGCACTGTTCTGAGTGCCTTCTCTGCATGCCTTGGTGAATCCTCACAGTGTCCTGTTTTATAGCCGAGGACACGGAGGTTTGGGGAGGTATGTTCAGCTGAATGTGGCCCTGAAGATATCCACGTGCTAAGCCCTGGAACCTGTGACTGTTACCTGATGAGAGAAAAAGGGTCTTTGGCATGTGATTAAGTCAAGAGTTTGTTTGTTTGTTTTAAAGGTTTTATTTATTTATTTTTAGACAGAGAGGAAAGAAGAGAAAGAGAGGGAGAGAAATATCAATGTGTGGTTGCCTTTCATGTACCCCCTACCAGAGACCTGGCCCGCAACCCAGGCATATGCCCTGACTGGGAATCGAACCAGCAACCCTTCGGTTCACAGGTCAATGCTCAATCCACTGAGCCACACCAGCCAGGACTAAGTGAAGGGTTTTGAGATGGGGAATTATCCTGATGATCCGGGTGGGCCCTAAATGCATCACAAGTGTCGGTACAGGGGAGGCCGGGGGTAGTTCACTGTAGAGAGAAGCAGAGGAAAGCAGGGCCAGAGAGAGAAGATGCTTTGCTGCTGGTCCTGAAGATGAAGGAAGAGGCCAAAAACAAAGGAATGCAAGGGGTACAGCTCTCCCTACCGGGAAAGGGAGGAGACCACTGCACCCCTAGAGCCTCTCGAGGGAGTGCTGCCATGCTGATTCCTTGCTTTTGGCCCCTGAAGACTCACTGGAGGTTTCTGACCTCCAGTGCTAGAAGAGAACAAATTCCTGTTGTTTTAAAGCTACTAAGTGTGTGGTCATTTATGACAATGACAATAAGAAGCTAATACAACCAGTTAAGTCACTTGCCTAGGATGACCTGGAAGGATGAAGTCAGGATGACTTGGACCCAAGCAAACACCCAGGCTGAGGGCCGCTGTTCTGGGGGGGGGGGGGAAGGTGGGTGGGGGCAAGCGCCAGGAGCTAGAAGCCCCCAGCCTCTTTCCCAGTCCTCTTGGCCATGCCTCTGTCTGGCTCTGTGGGGTTAGGGTGACTTTGGGAGAAGAGGGGATCTGGAGGAGAAAAAACTGCAGAATTTGTGCAAAGAGTGGTTTCCTTGCCTCTAGCACTTTGCAGCTCAAGCTCCACCAGAGCAGAAATAACCATTGCCATTCACGGGCTGCTGCTAGAGCTCCTGTTAGGGGGTTGAACTGTGCTCCTGCCTCTTGAAGGAAGGAAGGAAGGAAGGAAGGAAGGAAGGACGGAAGGAAGGAGAAAGAGAGGGAGAAAGTGGGGGGGGAGAGAGAGAAAGATGCTCAAGTGGCTTTCAGCACTCAGAATGTGACCTTATTTGGAAATA